TTTATTTTTATGTGGTGCCTCTCACTGGGAAGCACTCTATCACTGAGCTACAACCCCAGCCTCAAAACTAGGCTTTTTAATTTAGTGAACCCTTTTTCTTGAAAGAGAAGTGGAGAAAACTCTTAAGATGAAGTATAAACAAACTGACTTTCATATTGTCATCCTTAAAACCCTCTGAGTTAGAGCAGGTGTTGGTACTTGGGGACAAAGTAAGAAGTGCTTAGAAAATACTGATAAATTCATGTGCATTCATCTTAATCACAATCTCCTGCCTAAAAATAGCCATTTTATCCTCTCTTGTTGGCCTAATTAAAATACGCACATCTCACAGAGTGCTGTCAGTTTTTATCAATCCGTATTCATCTAGTGCTGGGGATGGTTTGTGGAATTCCATAGCCATTTCTCATGCCCATGATGGACCTAGTTAATTACAGGATTGCTTGGCTGTCCTAGTTGGCCTCAAAAATCTGACCATTCAGTTTGGGGGGCCGGTTGAGGGGGACAGGGGCTGTGTTAATTGTCTTTTCTTTTTTTTTTTTTTTTTTTTTGCACCAGGGACTGAACCCAGGGGCACTTAACCAACCACTGAGTCACATCCCCAGCCCTTTTTATTTTTTATTCTGAGACAGGATCTTGCTAAGTTGCTGAGACTGGCCTTTCACTTATGATCCTCCTACCAAGCCTCTGGGATTATAAGCGTGCACCACTACGCCTGGCCAGATTTATTTCTTCCACCCTGACAGACCTAACCTCTTGTCTATAGAATGCCTGTGGGAGATCCCGTCTCAAAACAAAAGATATAAAAAATATAATATTCTGATAGAGTGCTTGCCTAGCATGTTCGAAGCCCTGAGTTGAATACTTATTATGGGAGAAAAAAACAAAATAAACTTCTTTCTTGAGAGTGTTTCTCCTTAAGTTCAAGAATTTATGCTGAATTACTATGTCTGACAAGAGTAGATTATTCTTACCATCTAAAGATTGAAGATTATAAAGACAAAAAGTAAATGGATTTAGTTTGATGCCATGAATATATTTCTTTCTTACTAGTCCATTTTCATAAAGAACTTTAAAAAGGGAATCTTTTTGATGGAAATTATAAGTAGATAATTAACATGTTTTTCTTGCTCCAAAAAGTATGTACCTTTAAGGTGCTGGATCTGTGTTTTCCAATACATGGTCCTTGAAATGACTAGTGGAATGAGAAACTGAATTTTAATTCATCTTAAAAAATCCATAAGGGGCTGGGGATGTGGCTCAAGCGGTAGCGCGCTAGCCTGGCATGCGTGCGGCCTGGGTTCAATCCCCAGCACCACATACCAACAAAGATGTTGTGTCCGCCGAGAACTAAAAAATAAATATTAAAAATTCTCTCTCTCCTCTCTCACTCTCTCTTAAAAAAAAAAAAATCCATAAGATTTTGCTGGCAAATATGTTTCATGCTCAAAAAGGCATGAATAGGTCAAAAGTCAGGCTGGAGGTAGAGGCAGATCAAGGGCATGTAAGAGCTCTACGTGCCCAATTTACACTATTCTAGTGTAAATTGTCATTTTTTTTGTTTTTTTAAAGATATACTTGTATGAACAGACGCAATCTTCATTCTTTGATTAGACTAAGTCAACTTGTCCAAAAAATTTATGTAGATGTGTTTCATGGAACTTTCTAAATAATTTATGAAAGGGAGATGTTGACCCACTCAGTGGTTCCATGAGTTGGTGACTTTTGGAAGAAAATTTAGTCATATGTAGATGTCCTATTGATGATACTGGTTTGGTTTTAAAATATGAGGCTAAAATGTTAATTCAGAAAAGCCGACACAGTCTATGCTAGGGTGTTTTCCAACATTAATAATCTTATATAATTTAGCTATTAAAGACAGTCTTGGAGAATTGAGAACATATAGTCATTGACCTAGATACGTGACCCTTGGAATTTTATTTTTTTTAGGACTCGATGGAGGATGGAGTTCAAGGTCAGCCTCAGCACCTTAGCCAGGCTGTAAGCAATGCAGAGAGACCCTGTCTCTACATAAAATATTAAGAAGGACTGGTGAAGTGGCTCAGTGGTTAAGTGCCCTGGGTTCAGTCCCTGGTGCCAAAAAAAAAACTAGTTGCTAAGAAAGCATAGAATTGTATAGTAAGTAAAATCAGGTTATATGTAACTCATACCTTGTGACTAGAAAAATAGGTCTCTAACCCTGCAGTCAGAACCAGTAGTTGCCATTTACTTTCCTAGTGGCATAGGATACACTTTAAACATTTTTTAGTTTAACATTTAATTTGCAAGTATTGATATAGGACCAAGACCTTGAATTGGCCTAGATCCTCAATAGCTGTCCCCCATTTTTTTTTTTTTTTTTTTGCAGTGCTCGGGAATAAACTCAAAGTTCTAACATTGAGATACATTCCCAGCCCAAACCTCCTTTTTGAATAAATTACAAAGATTTGAAATTTGATTTGCATTTTAAAGAATTTGAACATAGAGACTTTAGGTTCTTAATGTATTTTACTTTTTCTCCCATTCTTTTCTATACTGGGGATGGAACCCAAGGGCACTTTACCACTGAGCTACATCCCCAATCCTTTTCTTTATTTTGAGACAGGGTCTCTCTTTAAGTTGCTTAAGGCCTTGCTAAATTGCTGAGACTAATCTCGAATTTACCATCTTCCTGCTTCAGACTCCCTAGTTGCTGGGATTAGGCATACACCATTGCTTCTAGTGTCCATAGTAGTTTTAATAGCCTATCTTCAATTAATCTTTACAGTCTTTTTGATGTATCTTTTTCTGCCATGATAGCATCATTATTTCTCAGTAACTATAAAACAAATAGAATTAGTACCATTGGGTGATGCACCTAATTCTTGGTAAATTAATCCAAGTCAATAAGTGGGGAGAACAGAGAACTAGTAGTGGCCAAGAATGACAGGACCTAAGTCTTTTTTTTTTTTTTTTTGGAACCAGGGATTGAGTTTAGGGATGCTTTCCCACTGAGCCACATCCCTAGCCCTCTTTTAGATTTTATCTAGAGTACTTTTTTACATTTTATGTGGACACAAGACCTTGCTAAATTGCTGAGGCTGGCTTTGAGCTAATGATCCTCCTGCCTCAGCCTTCCAAGCTGCTGGGATTACAGGTGTGTGCCACCACCCCTGGCTTTAAGATATTAAATTCTCATTAACACCAATCCTATAAGAATAATTATTTCTCTTTTCACACAAGGAAACCAATGCATTGAAGGTTGCTTATTAGCACATACCTTATGTGTATCAAGGAATGGAACACCTTGATTATAATCTTCTGTGCAGTCAGTCACCTTTGGAATCAAACCTATGTCTTCTGATATTCAATACATTTCATTAACTGTGGCTGTTTAGCTTCTGATTTTGATACATAACTACTTAGTATTATTTAAATTTAAAACTGTCTTACATTTCATTTTACCAAAATTGCTAGTTTTGAACTTGCTACCCTCAGAGATAGGCATCAGTAATTCCACTAAGACTTTGTCAGCCATCATGTTAGTTTTCAGTACTTTCTCTGGTTTTGTTACTGTTTTACAACAAGTTGTTTGCTTCAAGGAATGATGTCGGTGCAAGCAATAAAGCTGTGTCCAGATCTAGAGTGAAACAATGCTGACTCTTGTAAATGAGCACTGGCTGTGATGAAGGTGTGTCCCTAGGCAGAGGTGTACTCTTTTATAGTAAGGGAGGTATATTGCCTAAACAGGCATTTTCTTACTATTCAGCCGTTTGGGGATTTAGGGGGAAAGTAGAAGTCTGAACTACTGACAATCTGAACTTGGGGGAAGGTAGAAGTCTGAACTACTGACAGTCTGAACTTGTTGGGAAAGGTAAAGTTCCTGTTAGCCTACCTCAAGTAGGAGGAGGCATCAGTACTGGCTGTGAACGAAGGATAGAGCTAGGGAGATAGAACTGCTATAGTGTATGTCAAATAAATATATATATATCAGTACCCACATCGGGGATTAACTTTTGTTTAAATTTACTTGAAAGCAATATTCTATGATAATTTTGCAACATTATTGTTGTGGTTAAAACATGTTACCTTCATAATATCATTTGACATTGATAAAGATTTTGTCATTCTTTTAAAACTTGAGTGGATTTCGACCTAACCTATACCACAGATTTCATTTTTAAGACTGCTATGTAATACTATTCCAGGTACTATTAAATAGTTAACATCTATACTTATCTTGATAATACAGTGAGGGTCTGTTGTTTTGAAGAATTTATATAGTTCAGGCTTAATGGTGTCCTTGATTAGAGTTCTGTAGAGTGTTCCTATAAAAAGCCAGATAAGTATTTTAGACTTTGCAGGCTGTATAGTGTAAATATAATTCACCTCTACTCTTAAAGGATAAATCAGCCAGATTAATATGTACAAGTGAATGAGTATGACTTGGTTCTAATAAAATTTTACCTATGGACACTGAAATATAAATATCTGTTTTAAAAATAGAAAAACCCTTCTTAGCTCATAAACTGTACCAAACAAAACAGGTGGTGATGGAATTTGCTAATGATGAGCATAAAAATGACAGTTCTATGTACCAAGCATTGATTCTACATGCATTTCCCTGTTCCTTTTTCACAGCATCTGTAGTCTTCCAGGTATTCATTACATTTTAACAAGGTGACACATCTATGGTCATATCCTTATATGGAAAAGTAATTAAAGATTTCCTAACTAAAGAATAACTGATAGAACTGCAAACCCCAGTGAGTTCAACTTTAGGGTTAGTAAATGAAGTCTTTGCTTGTATCCTTTGTTAATATCCAAGAATTGAAATTTTACTAATTGAATCTAGTATTTAAATTATCTCATTAAACACAGAATGGTTTAGTAATGTGGTCATATTGTTGGATTTTTGGTCTTTGGAAACACAAACCTTTTTGGTAGCATAAGGTGTACTCTTAGTAATTGTAATGACATTTAAGAATGAGCTACAACCCTGCAAAGGTTTGAGAATGTTGTTTGTATCCATAGTGCTTCTCAGGCTGGAAATACATGGTCACGGTGGGTCTTGCAGGTGCTGTTGGTGAGTAGCAGTCGGTACCCAGACCAGTGGATTGTCCCGGGAGGAGGAATGGAGCCTGAGGAGGAGCCTGGCGGTGCTGCCGTGAGGGAAGTTTATGAGGAGGTGAGGTGAATGGTCATTTATTCTCCTTTCACACACACTGTACATTGGGATTCTACAGAAGGGTCTTCTGTGTGAGGTGTACAAACAAGGTATTTTGCTCAGCAACACTGAGGAGAAGGCAAGAAGTTAAGCAGGTCCCAGCAGTGCTTTTTCGTTGTTTTCTGATAGAACACTGATAACCATGTGACTGTAGTTAGCATTTTGCTAAATCACGTTTTTTTTTTTTTTTTAACCTGGTAAAATTGAGGTAAAGTCAGTGTGGAAGTTGCTCAGAATCATATTGACATGTAACTTCCTGGTTGTCCTGATTACTTGATCAGTGTGTAATATTATGGCCTTGGCAAGGTTAGTATTAACATCGAACAGGAATGCATGGATCATAAGCTGTAATTCTATCTCAAATGAGTAAGAAGCAATTGCTGGGGCTGGGGTTGTGGCTCAGCAGTAGAGCGCTCGCCTAGCATGTGTGAGGCCCTAAGTAGCACCACATATTTTAAATAAATAAATTAAAATTTAAAAAATAGCAATTGCTTTTGTTTTACTACTTTTGTTTATACCTCATGTATAAAAGCATAAGTGGTTTGTTTGTATTCTTTCAGTTGATAGAACTTACTCGCAGGCAAAACAACAAAGTGAGTAGTGGTGCTGTTATAAATGGGAAGGGAATGCATAAGGCCATTCTTAGGCTTTGTACATAAGGAGAGGTTTCACAACAGTAGGTTGGTAATAATAGCAATTTCCTGAAGAAAGGACACCTTAAGTAGAGGAAACGGCATGTCCAGTGGTATTCATTTGTAGTATGAAATGGGGAACAACTGAAGTTGCAATAGGTTAGTTACAATGCTAGGAATAAATAATGAGGACTGTGTAATAGAAGGGTGTATAGAAGAATCCTAAATCTAAGCCATGGGAAAAGAAGAAAAGAGAAAGATAAATCTTTAAGAAGAGGAAGTGTGTATTTACAGAAGTCTGGTTTCATTCATGTTTGACCCAAATTGGTAGAAAATCTAATTTCTATCAATTCTTGCCACTCCTTATAAAACAATAATCTGATCAATAAGGAGTCACATGTAGAAAAAAATGAAGCCATTATTTTATAGCAAACCACAGGACTTGAATCTTGGTATGGTCAAAAAACTTCACAGAAGCAGGAAGATAGTGATTTGGTATGGGAAGGCCCATTCTGTTTAGATTCAAAAATTGAAAGAGCCAGAATAACTTATGTAAATTACATTATTATGAAAAGATAAATATTTGCATTTCATCCTTTTTTTTTTTTTTTTTAAATAGGCAGGAGTCAAAGGAAAACTAGGAAGACTCCTGGGTATATTTGAGGTGAGTTACAAAAGTAATCTTCACCTAGCTGTTAATAGCATTTATTCCTTTTGAAGATCAGCAAGATAATCTGGCAGCCGGCTGAACCAGACATTCCTCTAACACTGTAGGCAAGGTAGTCATAAGGATTAGAAAAGGAGGAGGTAAGTAAAAGCCACTTCACCTTTTTTTTATATACCATCCATTTTTATACAGCATTATTATGGTAGTAATTACCCCCATTGGTAGTATAGTAAAGTCAGTGCGTTTCCAGTCCTAGATATATGGAATACATGAAACATGGGGACATTATTTTTTCAAGATAATATTTAAGGGTTAGTTCAGTCTTTAAGGTAAAACCATATAATTTTATTTTTATGCTTTTAGGAAATTCAGAATTCCAATTGTTCAGCACTTGGGAGAATTGATGAGTCTTACAAGTATACAGTAGTTTTTAAAGTCCTAAAAGCATAAGCATTCAGACTTTTCCAGAATTCAGCACTTGTTTTACCCAGTTTCATAGCACCATCTCCTGGTTAAACTGGAAAAGATAAGATTTGTTTTCAGTAATTCAAATATCATAGTTCAAGTGACATTTGTCAATATGGTGACAGGTCTTTGAAGAAAACTCATAAAGCTTAAAATATTGGAAGGTAACAGTATTGTTTTCCAAGTACTATTTAACAGAAAATGTCAATCAATACATCTTTCCCTTAGAAAATAAAACAGAATCATTTTGCCCTTTTGTCCCAGTGATTTCAATGAATTTATGAATGTACTGTAACAGATAAATATTAATTGCTAGGCATAGAAATAAGAAAAACAATTTTTAAAAAATAAAGAAAAATAGTACTGGGGATGTGGCTCAGTATTAGAGCAGTTATCTAGCTTGTGTGAGGCCCTGGGTTTTATCCTCAGCACTGGAAAGTAGCAAATGATGATGATGATGAAGAGAAATAATAGTAATAATAAAAACTAATAAGTGACTTACCATGTGTTTAATTTGCTGTTCATACTCCTTCCCAAAGACACAGTAAACTGATTGGATTATTCAGGTTATTTGTGGTAGGGAAAAAATCGGGGCAATTATTTAAAGTCTTAGACTACAGAAAACGACTAAATTTAATTGGAATGAAAGTGAGTCCCTTCATTTTAAAGTCACCTTCTATTCAAATTTTTAGAGTCAAGACTATGTTCCAGTTTTAATAAGGACAAAATTGAGTTTCAAGCATATCGATTTTTGGGAGGGGGGAGGTACTGGGTATTGAATTCAGGGGCACTCTACCACTGAGCCACATCCCCAGCCCTATTTTGTATTTTACTTAGAGACAGGGTCTCACTGAGTTGCTTAGCACCTCGCTTCTGCTGGCTTTAAACTCGCAATCCTTCTGTCTCATCCTTCCCAGTTGCTGGGATTAGAGGTGTGTGCTGGTTTAAAAGATAGTTTTTGAGAAGGGCATTAACCCAGGTATTCTCAAACCTGGCTGTGTATATAAAAATATCAACACTTTGGCTTTATCCACAAGTGAATTTTATTTTAAAACAATTTTCCCCCCTTCTGAGTAATCAGGTATAATCAAGTTCAAGAAGCCCCAGTCTGGGTTGGTAGGACTGTGCTTTTCTGTGTATCTGGATAAACTGGAATATTCTATAGGAACTGGGACTTTTTCTCTACATATATCCTGAAGGAAGCAATTTTTCACAGCACTAAATGGTTGTCAGCATTAGCCTCAGGGAATAGGACCTAGTGTAAAAAGAATATGGTTCTTTTAATATAGGTTCCAAATTATAAGATTTTATTTATGAAAACAATGTTGAATATATGTAAGTCAATGTTAAAAAGTTTACTATTAGGCCACGTGTGGTGGTGCACAACTATAATTCCAGCTGCGGTGGAAGTTCACAAATTTTCTATGTCAGCATGGGCAACTAAATGAACCCTGTCTCAAGAAGAGGCTGGTGATATAGCTCAGTGGTAGAGCAACTGTGGGTTTAATCTTCAGTACCAAAAAAGAAAAAAATAATATTCAGAGCTAGTTTCATCATTGATGAAGAAGCTCCAGTTCTCATCTTTTAAACTTTAATTTTTTTTAATAACTCTTCCTAGACTGTACAACTGAGAATAATTGACTATTGCTTAGTCAGTGCTATGCCAGAACTGTTTATTTTTCCCCTGAAAATACATACTTGGCTTATTCCTGTAGATTAAAATGCTTTTCTTTTTATACTCAAGCAGAACCAAGACCGAAAGCATAGAACATATGTTTATGTTCTTACAGTCACTGAAATATTAGAAGACTGGGAAGATTCTGTTAATATAGGTGAGTTCCTATTCCTTTTGCTCTCTGGTCTTCTGAATTATCTTAAAACTCTTTCCTGAAACATTGTTTAAGCTGTTTCTAAAAAGAGTTATTGGGGGGGTGGTAAAGGTCATTGTTAGTAGAGTGCAGCTTGCTATTTAAAATTGACTGTATAGTAACTGTTGTCATACTATTCTCTAGGAAGAAAGAGAGAGTGGTTCAAAGTAGAAGATGCAATCAAAGTTCTCCAATGTCATAAACCTGTACATGCAGAGTATCTGGAAAAGCTAAAGCTGGGTTGCTCCCCAAGCAATGGAAATTCCACAGTACCTTCCCTTCCAGATAATAATGCCTTGTTTGTGACTGCCGCACAGACCTCGGGGTTGCCATCTAGTGTAAGATAGAGAGTTTGGGGAGGACCTCCCCGACCATGTGTGATCTCTTGGGGAGAGGCTTCTTCACTTTCCTTGGCAAACATCTGAATGATGCTCGCAAACTGTCTGAATTTGCCATGCAGGGATTTCAAACAATTTGCATGTTTTTCAGATGCTTTCAAATCTTCTTTTAAAAAAAAAAAAAGTGTAAAATATTTTAATAAGCCAAAGCCATGTGGAATTTTTTTTAGATGCCTTAACTGTGCCCCCTCATGTTATTTTTGTCATTTTTTTCACAGCATTTTTTAAGGGTTTTTTTGTTTTGATCTGTCCATTTGGCATCAGTCTTTTATCAGATCAAATTACTTGTGGGTATATTCCCCCTAAATTGTTTTCTCATTTGCAGCATTAATATAGTCAACAAATCTTTCTGTGGTGGGAATTAATGGAAAATATTCGTAGTATTAAAGAAATCCATCCATTCCAGAACTTGTTTCATAGGATAAGAATTTAAAATCATAAATTGCACATTTGGACTGTCTCTGTATGGTCCTTAACTGTTCGGGCAAAGGACTTCAATTTGATATTTGGGAAATTTGTCAACTCTTCTCTAAATTTGCATAATTAGTATTATGTTGCTGTCAACCTGAAATGGCTATTTTCCCTAAAATTCAATAGTAATTTAACACAAAATACTACTCTATAGTGAGTTGGTGATTTTTACGGAAATACTGTTAGCAAAATGCATGATGTAGTAAATACATCTTTCTTATCATGAAGACAGTATTCACGGAATTTATTTAACATGCTCAGTTGCCAATTCCCTTTGTCACTGATCTCTTACGTAGAATATCTTGGAACCATATTTCCCTCAATGTAAATTGCCCTTAAAACATTTTCAGTTTTAATTTAGATTTACCAAAAACCACAGGATTAGAATCTCACCTTCAGGGCCAAATCAGTGATGGCTGCACCACAGTGAAATACAAAGGCCACCTTGCTGTTCAGCTGCTGTGGGCTTAAGATTGTTAAGGCACCTTCAAATGTCTCATCTTTTTTAGGTTGTCAGTAATTACTGTTTGTCATAACTTTTGGGGCACTAAACACACCTGAACTAAAAATTATTTCATCTTACCCTTTATACTCACTTTAAAAATCAGGCATCCCATCTAAAATAAATAAGTACCTGGATTGAAACTCCTGCATTTCCCTCAACAAGGTCAGAAATAAGAGGAGAGTAAAAAAAAAAACATTGACTAATGTTGGGAGAGTGAAAAAAGATCACTTTTTCTTATAGACAATATTAGCCTTTTGTAAATATTGTAACTGGTGAGTATAAAGTAGAAAAGGTATAGTTAAAATATTTGCTCTCTATATAACTGCTAACCTTTAAAAATATAATTGCTGCTAAAAATAGAGCTGTTATATTTCAGGAAAATTGGTGCCATTTTGAAAATGAGATCTTGTGCCATTAAAGGCAGCTGAACTAAATATAAACATAGTTCACAAATTAATGCTGTCAACGGAAGGAGTAAAAGAGAAAAACTTAACCAGTGACATTTTATCCTAAATTATGTAGTATAATCAAATGTGATCATCAGAATTTTTATATTTTTCTTTGTACAGAGGTTATGTATTCTGAGTGTTTTTAAAAAAAGGAAACATTTTAAATCCCACAGATTTGTATCAATCACCAATGGACTTAAGATTTTTTTTCTCAGTAATCTCTGAAATTTGTTTAAATTATACACTTAACACAGCAGACAAACTGGATTGTTTTTGTATATAAGACTGCTTCCACCTGAAATGCTGTCAAGAGTACTTGGGGGGTTTATCTTGTACATGATATTCTTAGAGGTAATAATGCATGAACTTATTTTATAAACTCTTGGACTATGTATTTGACATGTAAAAAATGTACAGTATTAATGTCAACCATCTCTTAAAAGTTAGCCTATAAATATTGTTGTATAATTTTCTTTGGTCAGAAACATTTTGGTCTAAGTAGTGCCGTCAGGATTTTCTTCAGTGCCATTTAGCAAAACATCTGTCATTCACCTATGCAACTAGCAAAAATGTGTATAATACTACAGAGTACCTTACAGTTTCACTTTTAAAATTTCTTCACTGTTCTTGTGGAACCTGATCTAGCAAAATTAGAGGAAAGCCCCAAGGAAATTTACTTGAAAAGCCAACATTTCCAGGTTAAATAGTGGAATCCACTACTAAAGATAACCAGTAAAATGTCTACCATCTCACCCTCCAAAGTTTGCAAGGTATTGAGGCTGTTAATTGTGCTTATTTGTGGGGTAGTTGAATAAAATTGGGCACTTAATTTTTGGGTTCCTTGTCCCTCATGAAAAAGCAGTTACTGTAAATTTGACTTGTAGACAAAGTAGAATCTGCCCTGCATGTTGTTTTGTAAAGATGCCATTTTTCCATCCAAGCACATGCTATCCAATTTCCTATCTATCACACTATTGTATAAAGAGCAGCAAAAACTGGAGGGGGAAGTAACTGCTGTACACACTGAATTGCTCTGCATGGTCTTATTTGAGATAATTGGTGTAAGAATCTTGACTTTTTTTATATTTGGAAACATCAAATAAAAATGGAAACAATCCTTTGTGGTTTTGTTTTGTTTATATGAGCTTTCTGAAGCTTAGGGTCAGGTAGGTACTTTTTTTAAATTTTGAAATGTTTTTGCCTTAATGTGACTACCTAGAAGAAACCTATATCATTTAAGTAGGGATATTTTACTTAAGGATTCAGCTGAAAGAAAAGAGAACTCTGCAGTGCTGTCTAGTTAATCATTAGTTTATTAAAGTATGATTTTAAGAATTAGTTGTAGGTAATTACTGTAGTTGACAGAGGTGGTTTCAACTGTTTCATGTATTTTTCTTCAATATTTACCAATAGCCTCATATACTCAGAATCTGCTCATACAGAAATTTACATTATGGTGGCATAAAGAAAGTGACTTAGCTTATATAGGTTTCTAAAATCTTTTGAGGCTTTATAGCTTTTTATGTACACTTCAATGTAAGTTTTTATTTTTGGTACTGGGGACTGAACCCCAGGGTTCTTAACCAGTCACATCTCCAGCTCATTTTTTTTTTTTTAATATATATTTTAGAGAGAGGGCCTCATTGAGTTGTTGAGGCTGGCTTTGAATTCACCATCCTCCTGCCTTAGCCACCGAGACTAGGATTATAAGGTGTGAGCCATCGTGCCCAGCTCAATATAGCGTAAAAAGCAATAGATGTTTATGAAATGTCATGCAAAGCAAGTGCTCTGCTACTGAGCTACAACCCCATCCCCTCCCTTCTATGTAATACCATCCTGACTGATGCCATTAGCTAAATTCCAGCAAGATATTTCCCAAAGACATATCTTAGCAATACTCAAAAGGTTCCCTTTTTTTTGGTGGAGGTGGGTGGGGGAAGGGGAGCAAGAACAAAGGAGTAATGGTTAACCTATTATAGATCCATATAATAAGCACTACAACAACAAAAACTGCATTCAAATAAGAATATGTATGTACAAACAGCTTCTCTGGAGAACAATTTAGGGGGGGATCTGGTCAAATATTATAAACTGTACAACCAAAATAATGGTCCCAGCCAGGGACTATGGTGCACACCTATAATCCCAGCAGCTCAGAAAACTGAGGCAGGAGAATGGTGAATTCAAAGCTAATTTCAGCAAATTAGTAAGGCAGGCCCTAAGCAACTTAAACTTAGCAAGGGTCTAAATATAACAAAAGGG